TAGATGACTATATCATTTATTATAAACAAATTTGGTCGATAATTACCACTCATTACATATTCAGAATGCTTATTTGATTGACATCTATCAATCTCTGAACACCCGACTTTTTGGTATTGATTCTGAAATAAATATACTTATTCTATTTCAGTGTAAAATGTAAATTGCACTGAGTAACCGCGTGTTGACATCCAAGTTGTAAATGTATTTGCAAATCATTTGATATATGATCAAATCAAGCAGAAATATCTTTTTACTTTTATATTTCTTTAAAAGGTAATCCGACTTCATCCCTTAGCTATTATCAGCAATACAAGGTCGGGCAGATGGAATAATCTATAGACTCCGACGCCAATAAGGTGACGGTAAATTTTCATTGAATTTTCAATGTTTGAGCATCATTGGACAATTGCGTTTCAATTATTGAGTGTCAAATAGCCAATATTACAACGCATTTAGACTGAATTAAATTTTTGTCATTATTATCAATAAATGTAATCAAGGGAAAGAAGATGCAAATTCTAGTGTATATGTTACATATTAATTAATAAATATATTTCCTCGGTTCATCTTTAATTTTATTGCCAAACCCATTTATTAATTTATAAATCAAATCATGTATTGGATTAAAAATCCTAATACAGGGTCTTCACATACAAAATCCAATACTCACAAATATACAAAATACAGTACTAACAAACATTTTTACACACAGACACATTTAAATATGTTGACAATCAAATAAAAGCGACATGTAGATAATGCCTGGTTAAATGTAATTAAAATTTCTACTTGAATTATTTCCCTTTACTTACGGATTTAGAATATAAAAGGTAATCTTACATGTGTTTTTTTCTAGTTTCATAGTTTATTGTTCTATAATTTTGATTTGTATTATCATTGCTATTTTATGTGTAGAAGTTTGGCTTTCAAACACTGGAATAACAATTTTATCATTCATAATCAGAAAAGAACATGTATTTCATACCCATGCATGTCTTACCAACGTGAGGAAGAACGAATGACCGCCATCAAAACTTTTAGTGATTTTCTTATGTTCATCTCTTTTATTAATACTTTTCTGCTATTTTTTTCAGTGGGGAAATGCATTTACTTTTATTTACCTGGACACTTCTGAAATGACAACTGAAACAAAACTAGTTAAACACTTATCGCAATTTTACCCATCTTAGCGTTCCTGTCACTTTGAAGAGGGCATTTTGACAAAGGAATTAACAACTTAATTTAAATATACGTTTAAAGTTGTATTGTGGATGAATGTACCGTTATGCAAAATCTTTTGTTCGAATAAATTTGATTGCAATATTAACCAAAGTTCCATGTCTCAAATCATTGAAACTAGCGATGAATTTGACTAGAAGGTAAGCAATATAAATTTCACGATTTACAAATTGGTAAATAAGACATTATTATATGGTTGAACTGTAGGCTATTTCTTAACTGAGGTCAATTCTTGGTGTCGCAAACCGATTATTTTAAGCCTAAGGGTAGTTTTAAAGAATTAGTTACGGTTACAATCTATTTGAGGTGTATGGTATTTCCGTTTCGAGTGTTACACCTCAGCTGCCTTCTTTCTATGTTGTTGTTCTTACATTTATTCTGTTATATAATTTCCGTCTCATTATGGTATTCTTATTTTTGTTGTTGTCCAAAAGTAAAAAGAAACGAATAATTAACGAAAAAGAAGCGAAGTCATGTGATCTACAGATAATTTGTAGCCTATTACTGTCACAATTGGTTTTTTAGTCCTAATATTTTGTAAATTAAGGGTCTTTTTAGTCCTATGGTCTTTTTAGTCCTAATATTTTGTAAATCGAGGGTCTTTTTAGATACTGCTCGTTGACGATGAATTTCTTTTCCAGAAGCACAAAGACACATTTGAAAAACTATAAAATCCGAAAAGTACATAAAAGTATGTTTATGAAGCGCCTTTATGACAAGTACAATATGACTATTTTATTATTGGCACCATTTGATTCACTTCCCTACTTTACTATCAAAGTTTAACTTAGCTCAAGTGTCCGACTTTCAAGGCTTAGACAAATACAAAGTGTACAATATATTCAATCAAATCACTGCGTAAATAATTCTCTTCAAAAACTGAATGAAAATAAACATACATATAATTAGTTTTTATCCTTTTCGACATTTTTGCAAATACATAAATTTACTTTTGAACAGGTGCACATTTTCAGTTTCCTCAAAACTCATTAAAAATGCATATATTTCAATTGAACTGAACAAGTGTCACTTTCTTATATCCGTCAAACTCGGGCGATGTCAGGAAAGAGTTTTGGTTAAGATGAACAACATTATCTTTCCAAACCCACCTTAATCTCCATAAACCGCCACTACAACCCTCTTAATTCCAATCCTTTTCATTAAACGGTAAAAGCCAGTATTATGTAGCGCTAATGAGTTATACTTATTCCGTTAATAAGGTGAGGATTTGAATTGCATTAGAACGGCTTTACTGAATATTTGTTGAAAAACTAATCATGTTTGTGCGAGAGAAAGCTTTTAAGAAAAACCTTGTATTTCTTAAGGTCCATTAGCAATGATGTATGAAGCATATGTAAACTTTTTCGATGAATCTTGTACAGAGCTAACATTTGACCCGTAAGACGAATATTTTTACAGTTTCTTAACACTTATTTTTCTTTTCTGTGTGATGCAACAAAAGCAGCAAGTTTTGGAAAGGAAAGATTAGTAAATTAGTTTTTAATTTCAAAAGCTTAGATCATAACCAAAGCATGTTTATCTTCACTTTTATATAATGACAAATAATATGTACGATTGAGGAATTATATTGCACTTAAAATCATAAATATATACTAACTACAAATGAATATTAAACAGATTTGTATACTGAAGATACTAATATCTAATTGTGTTGATTCATTAAAGGCGGGTAATATTTTTAAGGAAACGTTTGACCTACGATAAGCTAGTAAGCATAGAAGAGGGATGCTACTTTTAAGGAAACGTTTGACCTACGATAAGCTAGTAAGCATAGAAGAGGGATGCTACTTTTAAGGAAACGTTTGACCTACGATAAGCTGGTTAGCATAGAAAAGGGATGTTATAGTGGATTTAAAAGCATTTTAATGTTCAACATACAGTTTCTCGATTTTTAGTTGAAAAAGTTGAAAATTGTGGGGGAGGGGCTTTTGCACCCCCTGTTCTGTCGACTATGTGTGATTGTGTAAATGGATTGGTGCATTTCATATGTTGGGTCTTATTGTACTCTTAGTACATGATGAGGAGTTGACAGGATATGCATTTTTATTTATGTTCTATTTGATAACTAGAAAAGAACAAAACACTAAATCATTATCAAGATTAGGATGGTTATCTGTATTATTTGTGTGCAACCATAATCAGCTTAAATACAATTCATAAAACCCACATTTACAACTGGTCCATCCTAGTCCAGGGTTCAAGAAAAAAACGTACCCAGTGTCTGATTCCAAGGGTGTATCTTTACTAACGTGATTTATGCCGTTTCCTTTTAGCTTATGATCTAAATAACATGAATGTCACAACGGTAAATGGTATATTTTATCTTTGCGAAAACATATATTATCGTTGTGGGGGCATTATCAAAATTTATCACCCTGTCGATCGATAACTTTACTCAATAACAGTAAATACTACGAAAATAAACACTCGTAAGACTAGCAACACAACTTTAATGTGGACAGGTAAGGATTTGCTGTCGATGCAAAATAATTAGTTTAAAACATTGGGATTTCTGCATGAAGAGTGTTTATTAACAAAAAGTGGATAGCGTATTCCATTAGACAAAATGAAAAGGACATTCTTTATGTTTGATTGACAGTCTTTGATACGTTTTATTACTTTGGTATCTGGGACTCCACGCTATGTCTAATACGTGGACACATTAAAATTGAGATGTATTGAAATGTTCTTGATATTTATTAAAATTAATATATATGTCTGGAATTGTTGATTTGTACCATTTTGTATATTTAGGAATGGCTTTGCCAAAAATGGAATTAAAAACCGAATTCGTCCTTATTGCGACGTGTCCATTATAAATGTAAACTCGGTTTTATATCCTTCCAAATTTGCATAACCCATTGCACTAGTATGGGTGAAAGGTCAGCATACGGTCTTCAGCAACCAACAAGACTTAGTTACAATTTATCAATCTCTTAATTGACCCAAGTCTACACAAGTTATAATTCAATTTTACAGAAACTAACGAAAGTTCTACAACCAACACCCTAAACCACAGGCATTTGTCTCTGAAAAAATACATATATTCTTGAATATAAGTATACAGGTGAAAAAATATCAGAGACAAGTGCCTGTGCCCTAAACGACAAAGATATACCATAGACAGCATCCCAAGGTAAGTCTGGAAAAAAAAAACAAAAATAGTAAAACTTCCATGTATAATTTCTATATACACAAATAATTCATAATGAAGTTTGTCAAAGAGAATATTTGGCTTTGTATTAAAAAAAAACTCTATAGAATCGAAATTAATACTGGTAACTACTTCTGGATGTATATTGATTTGTGTGTTGTTTCGGTTGCTCTCTGTTTGGCGTATATCCAACGTCTCCTTTTATTCACATATAAACAAAAACTGAGAATATGTTATTAAATAACCTTTGTCACCATATAATTTCAGCTGATCAACTTGCAATAAGCAAAATATTTTTTTTCTGATAAACCTGAAACTGTAATGACACTTTCAAATTTCGTTTTTTTTTTCTATCTTTTTTAATCTTGTTACATCCAAAAAAAATCCAATATGGAAATTTGAATGAAAATACCATATGGCAAGTGGATCTGCCAATTTAGACACCCATATGGTAAATGAAATAAAAAAAAACATGAAATGCGTTAGGCGATTTTTGGAGTAACACAAACAATTGTAAAATACTATAAGAGCTCTTTGAATGATTGTATGTAAAAGCTATTGTTTTTCTTAAAAATAACCATAATACTTTTAAGGACCATGACCAATCCTGAATATGAATGATTTATTTATCACCGAATGTACAGAAATCAACACTAAATCAATAGACAAAACAAAACAGTATAATACATGACCAAAACATTATATAACTGCTGTCTCAGCGTTAACCAACTTTCTAATGCTATACATGGTAAGCAAAACAGGAAAAAAATAAAACGTTTCACCTCCAACAGTTCCTCTGTGTTGGCGTTTCTTTGGATGGCTAACTCAGGAAAATCCAACACAATTTATGGCTATTATACCCTGTGACATCAGCTTTCGATCATGTTATTTTATACTTTTTATTACATTGCATATACAGAATATAGACTGTGACGCTATTGTCTAAAATACAAAGACATTGCAGCACGTTTCTATTTCCACAAAAGTAGAATTGCATATTATTTCTTTACCATTTGAAAGAAACCTGTTGTTTTCAGGAAGTGCCATCCAATAATATTTTGCTGTTCTTTTGAGATTGACATTAATTGTACCTGATGACTTTCTGCAATTAACTGGTTGGATATGATATTTAAGTCGAATTAATACAGTTTATTCGGTTGTATTAAATATTCTATAACATGTTTGTTAGTCCATGCCAAAAGTGCATATATAGTACTATGAACAAATACAACTTGAAACTTTGAACATCTAACATTTTACCGAAACGCATTTTGGAGGTTCTTTTTCCCATTCGGGAAGCAAATCCGTTTTTCTTGGTTGGCCTAGAAACACGATTCAATATTTGTTATTTGTGATTATTTGACTGACAAACTTTTGTTTATAGATTGATCTGATATTTTTGATAATTCATTTTTTCTGACGTTTCTCAAAGAAAAGATAGATTCTAGTTTCACGTTTGGGAAACGAAATAAACTGACGTCTGAATCTGTTTCCCCTTAAATAAAAAAAGAAAAAGGTAACAACATACATTACTTTCTGCTATGTATTAAATTATTGTATTTGACAGACTTTGGTGACTTCAAGAAATTTTATATAGCATCGAAAAGAATCCGTCAATTTGAAAAGCTAAGAAATTTAGACTTTTAAACGAGCTCAAATAGTTTTTAAACCTACCCCTTAAAAAAGCTTAATTTGTTTCCAGAAGTGTAACTCAGGATCCTGACCTAGTATAGATCCAATGTATTTATTATAAAACTTCAATTTGTGTCTGGAAAATTTCTAGTAATACATTTTCCACAAAAATTGAAATAAATTTACAAATCGTTTTGAATATCAAAATATCAAGTTTTTCTTCTGCAAAACATAACTTACAAAAAAAATACATTTTTTCTGATCAAATGAATAAAACATTGCGAAACAAACTGTGACACGATCATCAAGAAAGACACATTTAATAAGTATTTGTTAGTTAATACATTTGTTTAATTTCGTTATCAATTGTTTCTTCTCGGTTTTTCTGTTACAAACAATCCAGAGTTATGAATCACGGTTTAAACAAATAATGAAAATCTCTATACACCTGCAATATAAAATGTCAACACCATCAAACATTGGCGCAAATAATGTTCTGGTCACTAATTAGAAATAAATTGAAATGTCCAACTGTAAAGTGCTTCTGAGTGACCGGTTCTCTTGACCTAAATATTAACCCCTCTATGCATGACTGCTCCAGCTCCTGAGAAAAATCATTCTGATGATCTGTTTGACCTCGGTTTCATATTAATGTACCCGGTAAATCCACAGAACAATGGCCGGACTTCATATTCTATCAGCGATTTAACCACAATATTTTAATTGTCTGAAATGAATGGAAAGGTTGCTTTATTGTAAAACTGCCATCATCAATATTTTATATTAAAACTCAGCATTGTGATCCATATCCGTTACTACATATATTGTTCCTTTGTTTTGAAACTTAGAAATTTATTTGGTTTTAACTAGTCATTTCGTAAGGTTTTTCTTTTCGTGTCTTTATGCAACTGATGAAGGATATTATTTGTCATTTTATTCGATTTATTCCTATTATTATGTGATTCAAAATTAATATAACTTTTTTAAACGAGCATCTTATTAAAGCATTTCTTTTTCTTTTTGTACTTTTATGACCTATAAGAAAAACCGTCTACTTTGAGCTATTGATAACTACAAATCATGTTTACATCTATTTTGTCACAAGAAAATGAATTGCAAATTCGTATTTACGATAAACAAGAGATGTGCAAGATATGCACGATCACAAGGAATCATATGTTTTACCCTATAACATATCCTGATAAAAACTTAACGTGGTAAATCTCTGAAACAGTACTAAAAAAGCAATGAATATCTCATCCAAATAGATTGTAATACTGGTCAACTTGTATTATTATTGTTTTCCAATTATAAACATTTATAGAATGTGAATAGAACTTAAAGAAAAAGAAAAAGTTATCCTTCTAACCTTCAATAAGAACGAATTAACTTGTACAAAATGTCATCCATAACCGTTCAGTCAACTGATTTCCGTTTGAAGTTTATATGCATAATGTGTCCAGGTAAACGTTATGTATGGAATATAATTTTTTCGATGTTTTAACAAAATGTCATCCATAACCGTTCAGTCAACTGATTTCCGTTTGAAGTTTATATGCATAATGTGTCCAGGTAAACGTTATGTATGGAATATAATTTTTTCGATGTTTTAACCTCTTCCTTTGTTAAATTTTTCGAAATTTGCTGTACTTATTTTCTAATTTTCTCAAAGCTCTTCTTTAAATAACATTCTTTTCATTATTTTTTTTTTTATATTTTAGTTACTTTAACTTACCTGTCCCTTTGAATATCTACGAAGTTTAAGCTTTAACTTACCTGTCCCTTTGAATATCTACAAAGTTTAGGCTTTGACTTGATCTTCTGCTTTTAAAAGTTATTCCAATAAGTTGTTTAACAAGTATATATACAGCAGAAATACAAGACAGCATCTCCAATTCTGATTAAGTTATTGACCAATGCATTTATTTTACGTAACCTGCAAAGGAAATTTAAAAATCAGTAGACAGTTTAATATTTGCCCCTTCTGTCTGTTTTTTTTTTATTGGGTGTTTGTTTAGTCTGTGTTCGGTGTGTAATACAATTATAGTCTTTTCTTTTTTTTCTTTTTCGTATAACTTTCTGTGGTTATACAGGTCATAAAAAGTACTTTTAACTCGGGTAGATATGCATTGGTAGGAAGGATAAACCTTCATCAGGAACGCTCCATCCCAAAAAAGTAAAGCCAAGGGTGTATATAAATACTTAAGAAGCTATTTGACCAAAAAAGACCTTAAAAGTACTAATAAAACTTCTGAGCTGATGATTAAATGTGGTTATCATTTTATAATTTTTTTGAAATATCAATAAAGCTACTACAATTACAGTGTTTGCCACTTCTTTCATCAGGAGCGCTCAGAGAAAATGTTAGGAAGTGAAAAGGGTATAAATAGATGCGCAATTATTTATTACCAGTAATAACAAGTAGTTGCAAAAATTGCTATATATAGATCAACTTTTTTGTTAAATGAAGATGGAACCTTTAATATCCCCCAAAATTGCTAGATCAACTTTATTTAAGGAAGATGGAACCTTTAATAGTCAGTCCCAAACATTGCCAGGTCAACTTTATTTAAGGACGATGGAACCTTTAATAGTCCCAAACATTACTAGATCAACTTTATATAAGGAAGATGGAAACTTTAATAGTCCCAAACATTACTAGATCAACTTTATATAAGGAAGATGGAAACTTTAATAGTCCCAAACATTACTAGATCAACTTTATATAAGGAAGATGGAAACTTTAATAGTCCCAAACATTACTAGATCAACTTTATATAAGGAAGATGGAAACTTTAATAGTCCCAAACATTACTAGATCAACTTTATATAAGGAAGATGGAAACTTTAATAGTCCCAAACATTACTAGATCAACTTTATATAAGGAAGATGGAAACTTTAATAGTCCCAAACATTACTAGATCAACTTTATATAAGGATGATGGAACCTTTAATAGTCCCAAACATTACTAGATCAACTTTATATAAGGAAGATGGAAACTTTAATAGTCCCAAACTTTACTAGATCAACTTTATATAAGGAAGATGGAAACTTTAATAGTCCCAAACATTACTAGATCAACTCTGATGCAACTGGAAATTGGGGCATAATGGATGGAATAATAAATTTCGCCTTACATAAGTCAACCTAAGGACCCCTTTGAGAGTTGAGGGTACTAGCAACGATCTACTCTCCTGACATGGATTATTTGATTATATATACTCGAAAATATCTTATCTTCAAAGGGCCTCATATTGCATTTTATTTTCTTACGAATATACCCAACCAATGTGCAACAACGAAAACTAAATACCGATAAGCAAGCTAAAAAAAATTCAACAAACGAAAAACAAAAATGATATACAGTAACAAACGAGAACCACTGAATTTCAGTCTCCTGACTATGGACAGGCAAATTTACAGAATGTTGTGTGGTCAAACTTGTCTGAGGGCGCCTAACCTGGGACAGAGGTGCAACAGCACAACTCAAAACCAAACTGTGAAAAAACAATAAACGAAAAACAAATTTATGATATATAACAACCAATACCAACTGAATTCCAATTTCCTGGCAAGGGACAAGTTTGATATATGTGATACAGAAATACTAACGTAGAAATTCAAATATCTTTTGTGATACGTCGCGAATGCCGTTTTTATATTTTTCACAAAATGCATTGCAATAATAATCGTTACGATAACATAACCCGATAATTATTCCGAAAGCAGAGAAAAGGTATATATGCTAAAGCAAATCCTTACTATTTTAACATGTAGGCCTCATAGACTTCAGAAAACTAATTGTACGAGGGAAATACGACACGAATCAATTAAACCAAAAGCAACCTAAAAAAGTAATAATCATATTGCGTTATCCATTCCTTAGTTATGCATTTAATCAAAACAAAAGTACAAAATGAACTTTCAGAGAATACGGAATTGTGAGATTGTTTATTTTTGCAGTGTTATGCCCTTGCCAAAAGTAAAAAAATGAAACAAACATGAATCTCTTCATCAATCATTACAATAAATATTCTTTACTAGCAGTTTCAAAATTTTATACGACATCTTAGACTTCTACTAATCTCAATTATGCCAATTTTAGAAAGAAATCCCCTTCAATTCCATAAATCAGGAAGGTGATTAATAGCAAATCGTCAAACGTTATGGTTTTGTATTGTCGAAACAGCAAAGGATCCCATCAATTTGTCAGTTTACCTATAAAATACAATTAGTATAATTGCATTGAAGTGTGGCTACATGGTAGACACGCTTTTATGGCAAACAGCTCGCCTTTATTGATATATTGTCCTTCCGACCGCAGCAATATACTTAAATGACAAATATGCCGCTTATATTGCTACCAGAAATTGTTTGAAACAAGATCAATTGCCATTTTTCCAGACTATACCTAACCAGAACCGTCTTGGAACTTGTGATATATTACCGGAAGTGAGCTCGGCATTGATTGTCGGGATATGACAATACCCACTTACAGCAGTCGTTAAATGATTTAAGGTCAACAAATTTGTTCAATTTGAAATACCCGATCAAATAGCATATAACACCATTACTCTTTTCATTTACCTATCTGTCGATCTGTTTTATAGGGTATTGTTACATTAATCGCTAATGCCTTTCTAGTTGCTGAATTGAATAAACAAACGTAATAGCGACATGTTTGATGAACGACTCGGGTTGATACACAAGCCGTCGATATCGAGTACTTTCTTCTTTATTCTCAAATAGATATCAGATTTTCAAACCATTTATTGTTAGAAATGATGTATATCTGGAAACATAAAAGGGTAGATTCAAGAGTTCGATACCCAGTTGTTTCAGGTTTTTACCCACTGGAGATAGCGTTAATTGTAAACAAACTATCAAGGGACTATTAACTGACGACGTAACACAACAATTAAATTCTACATTAGCTGTCATAACTTTCATTGCATGATTGAATTTCAGTTATATTATTTTTCTCGTGCTTCGTTTACCTGGCATAAAGGAATGTTTAACGAGGTGCATTCTTTAGTAACTTTCTATGGGACTGGCTTCGTTACATTATAGATAAATATAGGTTAGAAGGAATTCCCGCATCATCTTCGAACTAAATTAAAATCACCATAAAAAATAAGCTCTCTCGTATTAAAATGTACACTTTATGTTGCTTTTGGTCAACACTTATCACGTGCATCATATAAAGAAAAAAAAACCCTCTGCAATGTCAAACCTAAACATATCTTCAGTATTCTTACGTTCTTCATAACGGACAAAAAATGATAATATACTTGACATGCAAAACATGTATTTCAGTATCAGCCCATTATATTTATAGTTTTTGTATTAAACGCATCGTGTTTTCAGTTGCTTATATCACTGCAATCTCACACAAAGACCTGCGACTCATTTCACAAAAAATCTTAAGAGTAAAAACACTCGTAAGTCATGAACATTTCAGTATAACTTACGATCAATTTTAGTCGTAAGATTTTTTGTGAAAAGAGCCCCTGTATCGTAGCAGTTCTCCTGTCATCTTTGTCTAAATGTTATATAAATGAACGGTCATTCTTTGTCCCAAAAACTCTTCCAGGCATTCTTCATTATGTTATCTATATAACAACCTCGAATGAATGCACACTAGTTTTCTGTTTAAAGGTTGGGTAGCGGTGATAGCCACTCACTCAATTATACTTCTATAAAATGGATATTTGCATGACATGAAATCTAGTTCCTTTCGTGATCTGTCCTTGAAATACAATAAAAACCAATTTTTTGCACAATGTAATCAGGCGAACCTGCCTGCATGGTCATGGGAAGAGGGCAACATTCATGCAAAAAAAACTAAACGTGCAACACAATTTCTTCGTTATTCTTAGTTGTTTGAAGACTTAAGCATGCAATTAGTATCACTTTGGGACCCAATAAAAATTGGACTGGGCTGCTACATCGATTATTTGTATTTGCGTGGTGCTGATGGCAGCTTTTTGGTAGGCTGCGTTAGAGATGTAGGGCCAAATTACCCTGAATTAATTTCACACCCGCGCCAGTTTTATTAAGTCCTTCAATATGTACATACATTTTCAGAAGAATAAGGGAGATGACTCACATAACTTATAATTTCATACATGATTGTACAGTAAATTTCTTATTTTGTATTTTAAGTATGGGGACACAATAATTTTCTCTTTAAATTCCCCAAAAGCAGTTCTATTTCTAGAGAAACCATCTTTTCATAATTTTATTTCAAATTCTGTCCTTGAGTTTTCTTCCAATTTACATAATAATGCTTTTTTCCCTGTAATCCTTACAAAATGTTTCAAATTTTCACAAAACGTAAATTGAAAAAGGTTGGTGATGTATATTTTTCGTCATAGTTTTTAAATAGTACAATATAAATTATATATTTTTGCCAAAAAAGACAAAAAAAAAGTGTATTTTTTGTTTTTACCCAATACTACCTTAATGGATACTAGTATACGGAAAATTGTTGCGAAATCCATTAAACATATTTTTTAGACTTTTCCATTAGAATTCATCAACGTTTTGAAATTGACACCTTTTCGGTGAGCTGTGTCCTCTGGCAAAGTTGGTTTAAACTGACGTTCGTTTATATTGGTGGCCTTATTTCAGGGAAGTAGGAAGTTAAACATCCAAAACTTACTCAGTAAAGGAGATTTCCGAACATGTTTAAGGAAGAAATAGACACCTTAAACTGAAATAAATAAACCTAAACATCCTATACACTATGATTGTTAATTGTCTCTCTAATTTCAAAAGTTGTAAAAACTATTGGAATGGGAACAATGTATTCATCGAAAATAAGCTTATTCTCAATTCTATACTATACTTTTTTTTTAAATTCAGGTCTAAAATAACCTACAAAGTAATTTTCTGTATTAAATGTATATCATTTTGACTGCTGTTATATTTTTTTTTAACATTGTGCTTCACACGTGTCTGTAAACTTTGTGCTTCACATTTGTCTGTAAACTTTGATTTCAATCCAAAGTACGGTTCTTGATACATCAAGAAAAATATTTATGTACAAATGTCAGCCTATTTTTAGAAATCTACGACCTTAACTTTAGAAGCTTTCACCCCAAAACTCATAAGGATCGTTTTCTTATTGTAACCATATACCAAAGTTTTGTTGCAATTCCAAGCAAGTAAAAATCTTTCGTTGCTGATAGGATAGTGACCTTGACTATGGAGTTAATAACTCTAAAATTTGGGGTATTATTCGTATTTAACCTAATAATAATATGTATTCAAGTTTTCTTCCAGTCTTTTGTAAGGTTCCAGTCACCAACGTTTGTCATCAGGAATTCATTTCTAAAAAAAAAGATTTTCTAGTTATCACCCGCAACCCCCTTTTTCTGAACTAACTTTGAAATATTTTAGTATTTGTTACCTCGAACTTTAACATGTTGGCCTAAAATTTATAAAGATCTTGCCCTCAGCATATATATGACCAAAAGCTGGAGTTTTCAAAGTATGTTGTCCAGTTATCATCCGGACACCAAAATCCAGACGGACGGTCCCAGTAACCTCGATACTTCGTAGAGTGTTGTATAATAAATTTAAAAGCATCAGTTGTTTGCTCTCTACAGCTATAATTTCAAAATTATTAGAAAAACGCAACAGAAAAAGAAGGTGTTTACGTTAAGTTTGTTATAACCTAAAAAAAAATACATTTGTTATTTAATTCTTGTTAGTTATATATGCAGAAATAGATTTTTATTCAACATTCGATATTGAATTCTGAATGAATTATTTAGCTGCAGATGCAAATTAAATATTTAACTGAAAACAAGATCTAGCATTTGAAAAACGTATAACATCACGCACTAATAGGGAAACACTTAATGAATTACGGTTTATTCAATTTCAATGTACGATTTGAATTTAAAAACATTAGTGTAGAATAACAAAAGGGTGGCGAAAATTAATATTTTGTACAAATAAAGATAGGCTTTTACGGGTTTGTGCTTCTGTCAGTAAAACAAAGGTGTCATTGTGGATATTCAAACCGTGAAGATTTTAACATTTTGAGCTATCTCTCATAAATTTGAAATACCCAACTGATTTAAAACAAAAGAAATACCTTCCGATTGGGGAAAGACGTGAAATGGGATATTTTGTATCCTGGTCTGTCGATTTTTGTACAGATAAAAATGGCGACTGAACGTGTTCCCACAAAACCATAAAATTCCACTGACATTCTAGATATTTTAACTCCTACAAACGTTACTTACATAAGAAACGTGTTTATTATTTTTTTACACGTATCTTACATCAAAAGGAAACATTTTGTTTTTATTTTCAATTTGTTTTTTTTAATTCCATTGATTGATATATTTGTATTTTTGTCTCTTGTTCGTCTTATTTCTGTATACTTTCATTTTTGCAAGTAAGTGCAAGTAACAAATAGCACAAATAAAGCACAATGTTATTTAAATCTTAAACCTACTTCAAAATAAAGGCATCTTAAATGGTATCGCCCTTCAGCCTCTTTACACATCTCTGACGCCTTTTTGAATTTGGGTAACTCCAGCATCTTTACTTTCCAAGTAGGATGAACAAGCAGACCTGTAAATTAAAAATAAAATCTTACAATTCCAACTCTTATTAAAACAATATGACAAAAGAGAATTTAGCCATTTTTTTTTTAAATTTAGGATCAAAGAAATACCTGCATGGACAAACTGTATTTCTAGAAAATCTAAAGAAACTGAAAGTTATCAGTTCTTATATCCATATGTATAACCAACCAATTTATGACTTTATGTGCCATATTTCTACACAGTAATAATATGAAACCTTGTACATTTTGTGACATCAAAGAATCCCTGTAAAATTACTCTTTCCACAGTACTTTGTTCATTCTTTGTAATTCGGTTCAAATTTTTGTTTATAGTGATTTTTACATTTTGATCAAAGACTATTTTACCCATAAGAATTATATTATTTCATTATTTTAAAACTTGTCTTTGACAATTAAACCGATGACAATAACTCATTCTCTAGGAAATTGACAAGAACAATTGATTCTGCAATAATTTGAGTTATCCGCCTTATTTCCCGACCAGCATCCTATTCAACCAATTAGCGTACAATTAAATCTTAATGATAGGCCCTTATTGCTACAGATTGGAGGATGAAATTGATTCCAATCTCGCCTAACACGGTAATTACCATCTAAGCATGTCAATTTCAATCATTGTTTTATCATCAATTAATTATCGGGCTTGAGGGAAGACAACTCTACAAATGAATTGATCGCTGAGGACGAAACACTTAATAAACTTGGATTATGTTCGTTGACTGGTGTTATTAATGATCAGATGTGTATCTGATAGCCTAAGCAACCAAATGGTTGGTTCAATATGAGAGAAGATCAGAGATATGTAGCTATGTTTTTGCCAATCTGAAGAACAATTACAGTGGGTTTTCTATCTAAAAATAGAATTTCTGAAAAGAGAAAACAGACTTTGCGTAGATATTACCCTTTTCAAGATTTCTTCCAGTAACTAGTAATCGATTGAAAAAAATGTTTTAAATCGTAATATGTTTTGGTTTCGCTTATCAAATGGAAACACCAAAAGATGTGGAAAAATGATTAACATAAAAATAAAAAAAATAAAAGTGGGAGTATAATCAATCGGCTTCGGCAAAAAGTGTTTTGATTGTAAAGTAAATTATTAAATGACCATCTATCGCCAATCCAAAAAGTTGACAAAGTCTTGGTAAGATTTCTTCAAAAGTTTCCTTCTATGTTATAATAGTTTACCCTTAGTTAGTGACAAAGGAAATAATACAGGTCATCATGATGATGTACTTTACTTTATTTAATGGCGTAATCGAAACATTTTTGACGAAAATCAGTGATTACAATTTTAACCACGGCGACATTTTGACGGCTAAACGTTGGAGGTCAGTTAAAGCAAGCAAGCGGAAAACCATTAGATACTCCTGAAACCTTTCCATGCAAGGACGTTCGGAAGGTATCGGTGACCTTCGATCTGAAATAATCCGTCTTAAACGACAGAAGAAAATATCAAGTTTCCAAAATATCTTTAAAATCAACGTTTTCTGACGTTGTGATATGTTGAAGGTAGTCATTGTTTAAAATTGTCACGATAACTTCATATCTAAGTAAAGAGAAAAAATGTTAATTAAACAATTACATGAGAAATCTCTTAAGAATTCTCAAGAAGATATTTTTGAATTTCTTAAAATATACATTACATCACACAAACAAGTGTGTATATGTATAAAAACAAAAGAATAATTTCTAGGGTGATGACTGAAAACTTGTCTTCTTCATTTTTAAGAGTTTGTGATTTTTAAATGATTATAAAAAAATGTGGTAGACTATCGTCCACTGCATTGCATTGCACCTGTTATAAAACACCATCCAGGTGATTCTAATCTGTCCACTATGACTATCTGATTGATGCACCTCTTATATGATCCGCTTCTTGACACGTCATATATTTAAGTTTTATATATTCTGGAATTAAGTTTTGTTTTAAATTTTAGTTTCAAGTTTACTTGGTATTCGTCATATATTTACATAATATAACCTTCAACTAAGTTTGTTTATTCAGTAGTACTGTGTGTACATACGGTGTAAATTAATATGTGCAAAGGCTTTTAAGTTTTGGAGTAGCAACATGTCGCATTTTATTTAAGTCTTTTTATAAATACTCCACTTTTCAAATATATCTTCTTAATTTAAATTTCACACTGTCAACATTATCTCGTCATTTTCGAATTGCATTCATATTTCCTGTTTTTCATTTCCTTAATGCTTTCATATAGTTCAACTTTATTAATATGATTAAAGATAATTTCCATTCTCTGCCTTGAAAGATCTCCTTCCAATAAAAACTATCATACAACCAAGGGACAATTGGTTAATTCTACTATAGCACATCCTTTTGTTGGTTGTCGCTCTCGTAAGCGCTTCTGTCGTAAACCGATCTGTTTCTGTATTGTAGTAGTGCATCCGTCGTAATGACGGCTTCCATTGCGAGGCTATTGTTAAGATATATAGACAAATTTAGAAAAGCGTTTTATGGTGTTGTAAACAACCACTGTGTGTATATTCAGAGCCATTACAAGTAGAATGTGAAAAATTGTCATTCAAATGAAGGTGAAAATTGTATTGTACGGCATGTATCAGTTAATGCGTTTTACAATAAAACGACATAATGTGTTGCTTTTGTTCACATCTTATAAATGCTTCTCTTATGAATATTTGCTAACCAAGTGTACAAATTGATCCTAATAAAAGATTATGATACTATTGTATGTAACTGTATTACTGACCTAGTGAGTGAAAATAAAGTCTTGTGAATGAAAGAAGTTCATTTAAGGATAAACTGCCTTTCAGATCTACTGAATAAAAGGTCTTTTGAAAACTTAATTTGTATACTTGGGATTTAATTAGGACGTCTATTTAGTAAATAATAACACACCATGTAAATACCTTCCAAAAGAAGAAGTACAACTTGAACATATCAGTAAATTGGAAATAGATTTTACTTCAACTGAATAAATGAATGATTAGTGTAAGTTAACTTTTTTTTTATTATTCAACAGTTTACTTGATACATAAAAATTCAAATTGAAAAAAAAAAATATATGAACGAAATAAACTGATTTCATATTATCAGATAAGTATTTTGAGTTTCGAATTCAGCTTTCTCTCTAATTCCTTATGTTGGAAAAGAAAAAAATGAAAATAATATCATATTTGGAAATAAGTTATTTTTCAACTTTCTATTTTTCAAATAAAGAAAAAATCATTACATCCATGTATGACTAAGAGATGTGTTGTACATTAATGAGACAGCAAGGAAAAGGCAAAAATAAACAAAAGACATCTTAAGGGCATGTATTTACAAATTCGGCTCCTTGTCAAGAAAAAAAAAAAAAAATCTTCATTCTTAAATATTTAACACTCCTTCCTTCCATTACTATTTTATTAGTTTTTTTTATGTAACAAATCAAAATTAACATTCATCATAAAATGTTATGTTCTGTTTGTTATGAGAACTGCACCACATAGTTTCCCAAGAAACAGTCAATTTTCGCGGATGTTGTCAATTTGTTGAAGTTTATGGATGGGTGAAGGTTTTAATGGGAACGGTAGGGGAAAATATTTTCTACGCGTAGACCGTTAACTCTGTCTCATTTTCCTATGAAATTTTAATGATTAAAACATTACTTGATGTAAAACTGAAGGGGGAATAAATCGATTGCACAATAATCCGTGGATATGTACAACCAGATTGAACATATAATTATCTACTGTAAAAATGTTAAACAGAAAGCAAGATTGGACCGCGTACTGCGAGATTGATAAAAGACTTGAATCCGTATTCCATTCCACGGAGACACCGGAAATCATCTTCGCCTGTGGTCCGCAGGATGACGTTACTGTCGTCGAGGAAAAGTACCAAGAAACCTTTTCCAAGCTTGTAGTTCGATGAGGTGACGAAGTTTAATTGAAAATTGATATTTCATATATAGTTCTTTCATTCTGAAAAGGTCCCGCTAAGCACTAAAAGTATTGAAAACTATTCCATAAGAGAAACATGTTTCTCCGTTCTAATTATCTGCAATGACATTTTTGCGACATGAAATGGCACCGAGAGGGAAAATGCCACCACAAATAGATTCCAAATACAAACAAATAGAAATTTTTCGAGTTTTGTGTCAAATGGGTTAGAACAATTGACAGAAAACTTAAATGTGATGAAATCCAACCGTCGTCAAGTCGTGTTACACTAACCATTTACTCCGTCTCTTTTGTATCTACTATTGTGGCAGTTCTTGTTTTCATTTATGACATAAACATCATAACTGACTATTTACTTGGAGTTGTACAGAGAAACAATCATCGTTTATACGTTCCAATCTTGAATGTGTTTTTATTTGATTTGGATTAGTATTCTAAGTTATACGTTACATGAAAATCAGTAGGAGACAAATCCGTGTTAAGAACAGTATATCTAGTTTTGTTGATGACCTGCGAGGACACCACAACCGGAAGACCGTGTGTGATATGTATTGGTTGGAAGCTTGTGTCAACATCAGTCGAAATTAACAACGAAAAGTACACATTATCCTAAACATGTAAACTTTATCTTGTCAATTTAAAGAAAAATTAAGCAAACGGGTTATAAATCATTATTTGAAATTGTAAACTTAGATTTACTGTCTGCATACGAGATGAGATATGAGTTTAAATTGACAATATAAAATAATAACTCCGTTTATTAGAAATACACCTTGAGATAGATTCAGTATCCAACTCAAGACAATATGTATTTACAACTGAACGAAATATTTGTGTCATGTATGTAAACTATTTTCCTTGCATGCTTTCGTTATCAAATATGACATTGTTCTGTAACGTTCCTCAAAAAAATCAGAAGTGTTACAGGATCTAATTAAAATAAACACTATATGTTTAACAAAGATACATAATTTCAACTTTATTTTTTAGACAAAAATAAATATTTCGGTAGTATATTGGTGTTATTATTATTAAAAAGAACTATAAAACCGACAACCAA